TTTTTTTTTTTTTTTTTTTTTCCTTGTTCTGCTGAAGATCAGCTATTTTTCTGAAGGCTTTTAACCCCTTCTCTTCACATCCTGTCTCACAGCCAACCCCATTATAAACAAGAACTAAATTAAATGGCCTCTGGCTCTTTGTTGAACCACATCAGTCACTGGGTAGCACAAGGCAACAGATTTATGGTCTTCAGTGTAAAGGAATATTTTCAGATGGATCCCAGTTCTAAAATTAAAAATTTCAGTGCTAATCTTTCCTATTTTGCCCCTATTACAACACATTCTGTAGCTTCTCAGAAAAATACCTGATTTAGATTAATTTGACTGACATTGTGTTGTTCAAACTGGCATTTTTAAACACAGGTATATTATATAGTACACATGATATAAACAAACCAAAACCAAAAGAAGGATTGTAACTGAGTTAACATTGAAGATCATAGCTGTCCCTAAACTTAATGCTTTCATACTGAGTGCTTTTAGCCAGTCCTAGCTTCAGTGCATTTTTGCTGGTTAGTTTTAGTATTTTCTCATTGTGAGAAGATGGATTATTTTGTAATGTCCAATTCAGCAATGCAGCTACTTAGACATGGCGTTATTTATAAATATAAATATATGCAGTACATTGGTTTGGCTGTTTATCATTCATGACACTGACATGTAGATTTTACAGTAAATAGCTTTTGGTTATCTTATCCAACGCTGACTTCCTTATGCTCCAAAGAAGATTCCCCCCACTCCTTTGTTTTTATGTCATATATGTTTCTTCTGTATCACAACCTAAAATCGTTCAGCTAACTTAATGCTTTGTACTCAGAAATATTGTGGTAGTCTTAGCATTAATTAGCCTTTGTGAACAAACTGTATTGTACCAGATTTTTCTTTGCTTCAGAGCTGGACTATCCGTGACTATACTTACTGGCAGTGTACTTCTGGTCATTGTAACTGACTGGGCTGATCTTGACTTTTAGATTCTGTATTGTGGGGACTAGACAGTGATGAATGTATTTCTAGCAGTTTCCCATGAATGAATCTAAACTTGAGCTGTACTGGTTCTGAAAATGAAAGTTATTTATTTTAAGAAATAAAATCCAGATAGTGTTGCTTTTTACAGCATAATAAATGGAAATACCAAGATGATGGTGGTACTGGTGAGTTTTACGGGTTATTTGTGGGACTGCCATTTAAATGAGTCTTGAGCTGTGAGAAGGTTGTCCTGGAAAACCAACTCTGGTCCTTTCCATTGTGCAAAGCATACAGGAAATCAGAATGAATTTCTGTCATGTACTGTTTTTCTGATTTTTTTTTTTTTTCTTTTGGTGTTTAATTTGAAACCTACATTTTCAGAGCCGTGTCATTTCACTGGTTGCTTTTTGTTAATGTTGGAATTCTGGCTGGGTGTTCTGAACAGGTCTAGCTTTCTCTTAACTTACTCTGCTATCCTTCATCACACCGACAGTTTCTTTCTTTTATTATTCTTCTGGCTGTACAGTTCATATAAAAGCCTGACAAGTGTGAGATGAGGGATTTTGTCACTTACTAGCCCCAGAGAAAAACAGCAGTGGTCCAGCTTGCAAGCCCAGAAAGATGAGCCATAGATCAGTTATCCTACTGAGGACTCAAATTAGAAATTCAAGTTCAGTTTATTGAAGGTTGTGTGGGGATGGAAACAAATGAAAGGTAACAACCACCTTCTAAGAACTCCAGTGCAGACAGACCTGCAACAATTAAAAGTACTGCCTTGGGCTTCAGAGCTGTAACTAACTCTTTAGGTGCAAACAAGTTTAAAATGAGATACAGAGTAGTAAAATACTGACTGGCACATCTACTTTATAACAGAAGTAGCCAAAACATGAGAGAGAGGACAGAAGTGGCAACTGACAGTTCCATTTATTTAAAATATATAAAAGAATATTCCGTCCAGGAAAAGTCACTGCTTCTAGAACTACTGGCTATTGAAAATCCAAGCTGTGAATAAGATCACTGCTTTATGTCCCACAAAACTGAAGGATAAAATGACTTGTAGTACATGAATACAAAGCATAGCTCAAAAAACAACTAGATTTTTGTTTTAGCAACAGATACACATCCAGCTAGTTACAGTAAGATAAAAGCATTAAGTCATTTCCTGTAGCACTGTTAATCTCAGTAACTCAGGGCACCAAAAATAAGTCAGTTTGCAATGCTTTCTTTTAAATACATGTGTTACATGCTCTAGGTCCTTTTATTTTTACTTGGAAGCTTTTTCAGGGAGCACATCAGATGTCTTGGGCACAACACACCAAACTGAAGCAGTCCTTCCCAAACAGCAGCTGATGGGTGTGGAGGGGGCGCAGGAGGTGCCCTTGTCCACGCCCCTGCTCAGGCAGGGACCCCACAGTGGCTGCCCTGTTCCTGTGGCTGGACAGATGGGTGCAGCACGAGGGCTCTGCAGCCCCTCTGCTCAGCTCCGTGCTAATTAGCAGCCTGCACTAATAGGTTCCCTTAGAGAGACCAGCTGCCTCCAACAGCCTTGCTTCTTAATTGAGAGTTGTTAATTGCCTTCAAACGTGCTGAGAAACCAACCTGTTCCTCCTCTGGTGGAAGCAGAGCTTCATCCTTTAAGTACTGCAGTCTGCATATCCCACAGCCTTTGCTCTGGATAAACTTCTTCACTTTCCTCTGCCTTACCCCTTCTTACAAAACCATTATCAAAGCCTGTAAAATCTTTTAGCTATTCAAATTAACAGTTAAATAAATGCCCTGGTTCATAATGCACGAGAAAACTGAGTTCCATTCCACCTGTTATACCTACATGGGGCCTGTACTATTGCAAAACATAGGGGTGACCAGATCCTCACCCTGGCAGATTAGGCACAGTAAATGAAAATGTACTTCAATCCCTTTTGCAGTCTCCTAAGAGGAGAAGAGGAGGTTCTGATTTTGTCTGACTGCAGTCTGCACAGGCTTTAGTCTTCATTATACACCTTGGGTTCCAAGCTCTGCACGTGCCAATGCAGCTTGAGGGTGGTGTCCTAAGAAATGCTTTGTTTTTGAGAAAGATTGTGCTAAACATCCTACACAAGATTGTGCCTTGTAAAAATGGTGAAAATAAAATGTAACATTTTGGGCTTCTGCTCTCTCAATGGGCCATGTTCAGAAGAGCTAAAAACACAACAAACTTTAGCAGCACATGGATTGGGTGTGGCATGGTATCTGCAGAGTGTTTCCCTTTTGTGATGCAGACAAAAATTCAAAATGTAAGCTTTCTGAACAGAACCTCTGTAAAAGAACCAGCTTTTCTTTGAAGCCTTCTATGTACAGTTAACTTGTTTAAACATTTAACTAATTGCTTAAAACAGTGAAGGCATGTTTCTGCCATTGCTGTCACTGAGGAGCTCACATTCTCACCTTCCTCTACTCTGGCACGGTGTCTTGCTAATTAAACAAAGATTTGCATGTAAGGAGGCTGCTCAGGCTGCTGCTGTTGATATTCCCATTAGCTAAAATTGCTGCTGGACTTTCAGGCTGAGAAACCAAAGTGTGAAATGTTGTCACCAAGGCATTGACTGCAGCACAGGATACATGGCACAGGGAAAGCTCAGCCAAAGCTCAGAGCTGGATATGTGTACACATCTGCAAGGAGAAAAGGAAACCTCCATTACACAGGCCCAGCCTTGGTTCTCAAGTCTTTGCTAAGCACACAGCGTTGACCACCTTGTGCCCCAGTTACACTGATTCACATTTTAGCATGCAGCTGCTCCGGTGGGGGAGGTGGGGATCACTTTCTTTTACTGAAGCACAGCCTGCAAGGACAGCACTGACAGGGCAGCACTTCCAAACTTCACCTCTGCTCAGGGCCCTCCTGACACAGACCTCACCAGAGGCACTACAGGGATACTCCTTCCTCCCCTGCCATCTTTCCTCCACCTGCAAGGCACACACAGGAAGCTTTGCTCTCCTGTTCTCACCATTCTCCCTGCAGACACATTTAAACAACTGCTGTCTATCCCAGTCTAACTCCGGATCCCCAGCTTTTCCAGTGTTTGTGATGTGTTCTCCCGTGCTTGCTTAAGTGGCTGAGGTATGTCTGAAGTGGGGGGAGGAAAAGGGAAGAAGCAAGTTCTGGCTGAACTCTCGGGTTCCAGGTACTTACCACGGTGTCGATCTCTGCGGGGCCCACCATCCGAGACACCTCGTCAAACTCCTCGGGAGACATGGGCAGCAGGTTTTCTGGGGACTGCAGCCTGGAAGGGTGGCTGATGGGGAAGAGCAGGGATACTGTCACCAAAGAAATGAGGCACAGCTGGGCTACCCTGCCTGGCTCCAAGGCCTGAAAGACAGTGGCCTTGTGAAACCAGGCCTCTTGTGAGAAAGACCAGGCTTTGTAAAGCCAGCTTGGCTTTAAATGAAAACTCGGACTATTCAGGGGTGCACATCCTAACCAAAGAAGTCCAATGAGTCTTTGAGAACGTGCTTTTCAAGAAATTACTTCCCAGTACAATTCCCTTCAAGTTTCTAGAGTTTTTACCTAAAAATGGTGTTTTGAATACAGCAGTACATTAATGTGTTGTGATCAGATTCTCAAAGAGGAAAGACTTGACAGGAGTACCTACAGCTTAAACAGTATGAAGAGACATGAACTACAGCTAAAATCTTATGAAAATCCAGCATTTTTATGAGAACTTACACTTCAGATACAGAGATTAACTCAGTCTTGATGTAGCCATTTCCCTTGGGACCATCCACATCCATTGGTTCTGGTGCTTCAAGGAGAGAAAAAAGCTTGTGGGTTTTTTTTTTTCAGCAAGTTTATGTCACATTTTCATCTTTATTGTACCAAAAATACAGCCTATGACCCAGATAATGTGGAAGTCTCTCTGTCATGCATTTTACAGCACTGGTTAATTTATTCCATTTTTAGTCAGTTTTTCCTGTTCTTCTATTAGAAAATGTCAAAGAAATCCCTCCCATAACCAGTCATAGCTGGGGCTGTTAGTGGGAGCCTACATTTCTGGAACAGCTCATGTGACAGCTTGAGCTGGAGGGCCAGTGACAATTGGGGGTTTCAGTTTTAGGTCTGATTAAGTCTCACGTTGTGCCTGTTTAAAAACAAACCTTTTCTTATCCTAGAAACACGGGACAGGCTGACAAGCCATTCAGGCCAACTGCTCCTTTACTTCCCATGCCACAGAAACTGCAGTGCCTCAGCAGCTCAGGAACACCCAGACAAGCTAAAAGGCATGAGCCCCACATAGCACTCACCCTCCTTAGGCCTGGAGTAGTATTTGCCAAAGGCATTGTCTTTGGGGATGTTGGGGTACAGGAATCGCAGCGGGTTCTCGGGGATGTTCTCGGCAGCCATCACTTTGTAATTGCGGATGATGTCGGGGAAGGTGACGGCAGAGAGCTCCTTCTTGGTGTAGGGCTCTACTGAGTGGAACTGTGGCTCTGCAGAGGAGAGAAGCAGCAGTTCTGAAAGCTGCCTTCAAAGTTTTTTTTCTCAAAGTGTCCAGAAAAGCTGTAGGCACTTCCAACAAATTCAGAGTTCACGTGAGCACAAGCCTTGCCTGGATGACAGCTGCAGTGCTGCAGGAAATATTTAATGCCTGTCCAAGGGAGCATAATTGTTCTGTGGGGTAGGGAGGCATGGGGAGGGATAGCACACAGTGATGGCTCTTGGTGTGTTTTGTATTCAGAATGACTGGTGTGACTTGTCCATGGAAATTAACTGAAATATTTCATTAAGCAATTTAGGTTGTGCTGCCTTTTTAACCTTCTTCCAAATTATGTAATTCAAACTCTGCTGCCTATTAGGGAGTTTGATCCAAATACACCACTTGAGGCTTTTATGAATCAGCAGGAGAGACACATAGGCCTTCCTGAATGCTCCAAATACTATCAACCTTTTAACTTTTGGATGCCTCGGGTATGAAGGCAGCAAAGGGAAAGAATCACCCAAGTACACTCAGCGGTTTCTCTTCCACCTGCTGCTGGTTTTGAGCTCATCAAAATGAAGTGTCAACAGCTGCCCCATGCTGGCAGGTGGGGCTGTGTAATGAGTGGTGATAAGGGGGAGAGCCTTGACTGGGTTTTAATGGAGGTTTTAACTTCCTGCAGCTGTGATGCCTCCAGGCTTCCTTAAAACAGGATGAGAAACTAAGCCAGCTCACTGAAGAAGCAAGCTCTTCATTGATCCACTTGGACAAGGGGAGGAAGGAGAACTACTTGGAAAATGAGGTGACTACATAATTTATCTAGGGAGGAGGGGGGAAGGAAGGTTGCATTTGGGCTTGGAAGGAGATGCAATTGTGTGTGTACTAAAGGCTAACAGAGAGCCTAAGGAGGCAGGGAAGACAGTCTGGACAGTTTTTCCTTTCCAACTTTCATGCCAGAAGCAAGTGGGAAGTGCTACTTGTCCTAGCTGAAACCCTGATCAGTTGATTATATGGTTTGAGTTACCCCAAGTATGGTGTGTCCCTGCTATTGCTTGAGCCCTGCTGCTGCCAGGGCTACTGTGCTGGTCCTCAGGGTGGAGGAGAAGGGCATAAAAACTTCTTGTTCTGATGCGAGCAGATCAGCAAAGGTTCTCTGTTGCTGACTTACCATTCTGAGATTCCTCTACCCAGGTAAAGGTGATGGCTCCCTCTCTGCTGCTTTCACTGAATCTCAATAAAAATGTTCCTGGGCTCTGATCCTTCAGCAGAGCACGTTCTCTCTCTTTGCTGATGAAGCCCACAATGCAGCTGTAATGTTGAAAAGAAAGAGCTGAGTTACTCCCCTACATAAAAACCAAGCTGGGCTAGCTAGAAAAACTAAAAAGCTTTCCTTCACTTCACAGAGCTGAAGTACTGGTGAAAGCCTCACAGAGGGCTTTGTCCTATGAACAGCTGGCAGCAGGACTGACTGGCTGCAGTGATTCATGCCTTGTGCCAGCTGTGCATCACCTCAGCTTCCCTCAGCACTCTCATTTTGGCCTGGGGGCTTATACAAACATTTTTCTGAATTTGGAACAAAAATGATTGTCCATTTTGCTGTCAAAGCTGGGCTGTGGGAGCAGGAGTGAAGACACATATTTGTAACAGGGTCAGATCCCAGCTAGCAGTCAATTTTGAGCTTCAAAAGTATGCTAAAGGGTAGCTGTTTCTCCTTTTTGGCTGATGAAACAAACTTTGCTGGCTGCCAGATTACACTCTTACAGGTGTGGGGTTTGCTTTGGGCCTTGAGCATGTCTTCTACAGGAGCTGTTAAACTTTTGTGACTTACTCACTGTGCTCAGCAAATGTGATTGCATGGATAAGGAGGCTAGTGTGGTAATTTTAAGAGATTGATTGATCTGGACAGGTACTGGAGAGGGAGTTGTTCAAGTCAGTACCAGGGTATGACCCTGGCCAAGCTCCAGCTATTTGGTTTTGGTTGGTTTGTTGCTTGCTTATTGATTGGCTTTTGCTGGCTTTTTTCCCACCCAAAAGTTTTCTGTTTCTTATTCCTCAAAATACTCCATCAATAATGATCTTTTGAGTAGTATGACTGTCCTTGAGTGCATTAAGTTAGGGAAAGTGGGTTTTGCATATAAAACCCCTAAACAGTCATAATTTTGCTTAGAGTTTCAGATGCAGCAAGCTGCCCTGTTTTATGGGGTTTGGGGGTTTGACTGGTGAGTTTTGTGTTTTGTTTGGTTTAAATGCCATGCTTTAGGTAACAAATGTGTTCGGTAGTCAATATCCTGTGTGTAAGGGGAAGTCTTTTGCCTTCCTATGTCTCAAGTATGAAGAAAGGCTCCTGAGGTTGTATTATTTACTCTTTTGTATACAAGGGGAGTCTCTGCTCTTCAAGTCTGTACCAAAGCCACATGTAATCCCAATCCCAGAACTGCCACTCTGCTTCAGTAATGGTGACAAATATTCCCACTGCCCTGCAGCCCCCTCAGCAAAGAAAGGGGGAGGTTTGGGGCAGGGAAGCAAGGCTTGTACTGCACAGGGCTTTGACAGAGCTCTTCTGGAGCTGGGGGGTAAAAATGTGAAGCCCACTGCTGAATGTGGCAAGGTAAAGCAATCCTGCTGTTGCAGATCCTGCAGAAATGTGAGATACCAGGATGCTCCACTGTGAGTGTGCTGTTTGATGAGGTTTCATAATGTGGCTAAGCTAAAACACAGGATTGTGACTTTGGATAAACCTAGTTTGGGCAGAATTACATCCGAAATCAGAAATCCCAGAATGAAAAGTTTACTAAAGCAGTATTAAAGGGCAAATGGAACTGTGTTCCCATCTGGCAGAATCCTTCTACTCTTAATACTCTTAAAAAACATCAGTGAAGATTGCTGGGTTCTGGGCACACGGTGCAGGCACAGGCATTCCGAGTCTGGCTGCTGCCACCTCCAGGCAGCTCACAGGAACTCTCTTCAGGCAGGGAGTTTGGTTTTTGGGTTTTACAATGGATATCACTAGGACTCATACTTTCTTGTGCTTCAGCTTTTCTTGGCTATGTTCTAGGATGTAGAAAGAACTGACTTACAGTGGGAGCAGAGGCAAAAACAATCTAATCTAACATTCAAAGCCCTGCTCTGTGATTTAAATGGGACAACTCGGTGATCTAATGCTCTTGTTTTTAGCAGTTGCCTCATCAGAGGATTCCTTGCTACTAGAATTCGTTTGCTTCAGATTTTTCTGGTTTCAAGATCCACCCTCTGCACCCTGAGGGTGCAATTTCTAGCCTAAATGTGAAGTCTGAGGCAATGACCACATCTTTAAATTCACTAAGGTCTTACCCATCATTCCAGAGACACAGGAGATGTTTCTTAATAAGCTCCAGGATTCCTTCAATCCACAGCCAAAAGGGGAAATTTTTATCATTTATATTTTCCTGAAATTCAGAATATGGAAAGGTGGGGATGGGAGAGGGGAAAACAGGGATAATGAGACATGAGTTAAAATGCCTGTCTGAGCCTTCAATACCTACAAATACGTGATCCATCACCTCTTACATGCAACAACAGTAGTCTAAGAGCAGATAAAAGGCTCTTGTTCCTGCCTGGGTGCTATCCTTGTTGGACATGCAAACCCATGCCACTGGGGTTTTGACTGGGCTGGCCAGCAGAAGACCTTAGAGACACTTTCTGTTGAGACCTGGATCTCCATGTCTCATGAGGCATCTGTATCAATGAATTTGAGTGCTTGTAGGTCACCAGAGCCTTGCTCTTCCCCTGGAGCCTGCTCCTGGTTGCTGTGATCTCCTACTTACCTATACCAACTTAGGGTCTAAGGCAAAAAAAGAAAGTGGAGAGTCCTCCTGTCTTGCTTCAGCCAGGGTTGTGAAACCCCATGATGTGGCTTTCTGTCGTCATACTGACTCTCTTGGCCACCCTGTGTTAATCCTCACTCTGATCCAGTTTCCCCTGGTCTGGGAAATGTCCTTCACTAAGATGAAGAAGAATTGTTTATCTTGATGTTTTTTTTGTTTACATTTTCTGTAGTAGTAACAATGGAGAACTATTCCATTAATAGTAGCTGCATTAGTAATAATGGAGATGCTGTGTTTGAAAGATACTTTTTTTTTCCTATGGAGTTTACATGGATTAAAAACGGTCTCAAAATCATCTACTCCTTGCCATTGGAAGCTATTTTTCCTCCTCCTGCTGCTGCTTTAAACCACCAAAGCCTCCCATGACTATGTAAGATCTAGAATAATTAGGGGATGCTACTAGAAAAGTAGGCACTTTGCAGGGGGAACAAAAAAACCAAAAAAAGCCCAAACAAAATCCATAATAAAGTAAGATGAGATCCCTCTTCCATCTCAGTTTTTAAAACTGTGTACGTACCTTGCAGAATCTTGTCCAAGGAATAAGGCCATCCTGAGATCCTCCATTAGATGGCCCTGAACACAATAAATTTGACACCAGTCATGTTCCATAGATTACTTAATAAGGTTAAAAGTACTTAGAAACCAAGTTCTGAGTGTTTATTTGGAAGTCAGCTGTTGGACTAAGAAAAGGAAGGGCAGGTTGCTGTGCTTCCACAGCTACTGCAGGGGAGGTTGCCAAGTTCCCCTCTGGGAGGTTTTATGATACCCAAACCTGTGGAAGCAGCCCACTGTGTAATGGGAACCAACCTATCCTGACACATTCTGTGCTGTGCTGCACCAAACACTTGCCAGCTTCAAAATGCTTCCAGGAAGGAAACTGCATTTTTGCACAGTTCTTGCCAGTACAGCAAGAAGACTGCAACCCACAAGCTCCTCTGCAGGCTCAGCAGACCCTGCAGCATCTCTCTAAGAATAAGCACTTTCCTACCTTGATTCTGGTGATTTGCAGGCTTTTGCCCCAGAAACTTTTGATTCCTAGGTCTACCCCAATCACAGACTAATCTTATTCCAGTTGCAATTGTTTCCCTCAGCCTTGTTTGTATGTCCACAGTGTTTCATATCCAAACCACAAAGAAAAGTCCTATGCTGGGCCTACAATAGCTGGGAGCTTTGCAGAACCTGACTGTAGTCAGAGCCAAATTCTTTCTCTAAAAGATCATGCCATGGCTTCCAATAAATATGCTTTTCTCTATCATTTTTCTAAAAGTCAACTGGGTTAGGGAGCTTGTTACTGATACTGCTGGTGTTAAGAGATCAAGACTCTGTCAACTTTCATATTGCAAAACCAGCAGCCAGGTTGTGCCCTGGCACGCTGCTGGCTCTGTCTCCTTGCCCTGAGGAATCCTAATATGCAGTGTTCAGCAACCAGGATTTTTTTCAGCTGAGTAATATTCTTATCTGTAGAGACAAGATTTAAGTAGCAACCCTACCACAGCTCAACAAAATTCCTGTAGTTCTGAAATGCAAATTTGCCATAGAAATATATCACTGATGTTTTTTATGTTGGTTAATTAAACAAAAAAAAAACACAACAAAAAAAACCAAACTGTTTTCCTTGTAGAAATTTGAAAAGGAATCTAATAAATTAACAGCTTTTTGTCAGATCTTATGTCTTGGGAGAATTAGAGAGTGGAATGCTGTACACAAAAATCTGAAATACCTTGAAATATAATCTTTTCCTGAAACATAAGGTAGGTGAAATACACTGAATCAATAGTATTTTTCCTCTAGAGTCTACTGTGCAAAATCAGTAGCAGTGTAAAGTGTCCTGCCTATTCAGGCAAACTGCAAGAATTTTGGAACCAAAACCCATGGCTGATGAGGCTTTTATTAAGGACACTAATGTGGGAGATAATTCAGTCTGGTATTCTTTAGCAGTTTGGTAGTGTTTAGATGATGATACTGCAACTGTGTTTATGCAGAGTAAATCCCCACTGTAGCTGGGGACATGCATGAAGTTAAAATGAATGGAGGTGGATTTAAAAAAAAAACCTGAGAGATGCCAAGAAACATCCACTTCATAGACTGACTAAACATGAGTGTTACTTCAACACTGGCAGAATTAGGCCCAGTCTGTGTTGCTGCAATGCATAAAACTCCCAAGTTAGAACTGCAGATTTTTTTTCATGGCATAATTTCATTTACAAACCCTGCCATACTGAAAAGTGAAAATTGCTTCATTGCTACAAAGTTACATTGTAGGAGGAGGAAAGGAAAACTTAAAATAGGTTGCAGGAAAAAGGTGTAGAACTAGTTTCAGTTCAAAGAGGCCATCTGTGATGAAAGCAGACCTTACCAAGAAGCTTCTCTCCCAGCATGCTCAGCTGGTCTGCATTTAGTCCTCTCTTTGTTACAGAAGAGAACTGCCAACTCAGAACATCAGAAAGCTTAGACCACTTTGCACAAGGTGGATTCAGAAAGAAGGACAGGTTCTAGAATGGAAGAGAAAAATACAAACTATAGTTAACAAATATTAGTTTTGGAATGCTGCTTCAATTTTTATATTGCCAAAGCAAACTCCAGATTTAAGAATGGATGTCAGCTTGAAAAAACTCTGCAGAAGCAGGCAGCTATTCTTCCAGGCACTCTTCACCAGAAAAAGTAATCTCTAGGGCTCTGGATATGTCTTCTCCCAGCAGGCAGAATTGCTGGATTACTCAAGTGCACCCTGAGTTCTTTAATGTTCATTTGGCTTCTCCCTGTGTGCTGTATTATCCTGAATACAGGTACACTACCCTTATGTGGGTTTCAAACATTGCTCTGTTTAGGTCAGGTAAGTCACTGCCCCTCTCTACATCTGAAACTCATTATGAGTCATCTGCACAGCTAAAATGAAGCAGCCACTTGCAAACAATGCTTGAAAATTAGACATAGTACCTGATAAAACATATTTTTTTCTTGCAAATACCTTGGGATCAGTAGACAGCATGTTGAACCACAAGATAGAAGCCCATCCACTGGGAAGCTGGCTCACGTTTGAGATCACAACAATGGGAAGGGATGTGGTCTGAAAGGGCACAAAAGGAAACATGTCAGGTTACCCTGCACTGTTGCCACAATCCTTCCTGAGATTATCCACGCAACCATTTCTGTTTTAATTCCCTGCTTGCACAATCTTGACTTTTTCAATAGAAGTTTGTATGTAGGGGAGAAAATATGATGAAATACTGGAAAGACTTGGGTGATTTTTGTCTAATAAAGACTTTCATTTAGTGTCAGTTATGATAGCACTGATAGTGACAGTAGAGTTCATAGCAGACTGCTTCTGAAATAAATGTAAACTGATAACCAACCCTGTGGTTTAAGCCCTCTAGGTATCGGACATTTTGCAAAGGACATCTATTCTTATTTACCCAGAGATTTGACAGAATTCTCTCTGTGTCTATATAGAGTTGTTGTGAAGTCTCAGTCCCATAATTTGAGTTAATTAAAAGTACTTGATATCCCAGTACTAAAGAGAGAAAAAAGTTAAGATTGTCAGCACAAGTGACACACAGGAGCTGAAGTCCATCTGGTTGATTTAAGACTTACCTCTAGGTCTATTACCAAACCAGGCTGGCACAGCTGTGTCTCAAAACTCAGAGAGTGAAGCTCTTCTGTTACAATCAGAGGACCCTTAAAAGAAAAAATGTAAGAAAACTTTTCAGGGACTGAAAATTCCCTAGGGTAAAGTAATGGGGCTTTATCATGAGGAAAACCTTTTTCTGCCCATGGTCACATGCTCTAGACCTCAGTAAGAGCTTCCAAGTCAAGGTCAAGTGACAGTGCTGGCTTCCTAAAACTGCCTCTCCAGGCAGTTTTTGAGTTTCTTTTGGCTACTACCTATAAGCCATAGACAAATCTGTGCTTGCCAGGAAGATGCCAGTGTGGGAGAGTCCCTCGCTGCCATTCTGGCAGTAGCTCTCCTTGCAGACTCTTCCTACATGGATCACTTTGTAGAAACACTGAACTCCTATGATCTCTCATCCCATGTGTGTCTTCACAGGTCTAAGCAGAGAGCATTGTATTAAATGAATGCCTTGTTAGTATTATGCTAAAACTTTACAAAACAAAGGTTAGTGCTGCTTACCTCATTTGTTCTGCTCCCTGTGTTTTTCTGTTCTTTCAGTTGCTGCAAATGAACAAAAAACCTGTCACTCGTTTATGGCAGCAACAAATGAAAGTGGTAGAGTTGCACTTGCTCAGCTGTATGCAAACTTGCTGCACTAGTGTCTGATTCTATTTGGTTCTAAGCTGTGGGAGCCAAAGGATTGAACTGTTAGGAAACTACTACCCTTTTTACAAACTGTTAACCTGTGAGAAAAGATATTGCACAGTTATGATGCAATGCCTTTATGCAAGAGGCCTTTTAAGAACAGAAGCTGTATGAAGTCAGGATCAGATGGAATATTGGTTTATCAAAGTACCCCTTTGAATCAGATGATAAACTCTAGACAGCCTCAGTTCTGGACAATGAAGGTAGAGTTCCATGTGCCCTGGTTCTGGGCTTGCATTTTTCCTTTCTTGCTGTGGTAAGGAACCAGTGTGTTCTCTCACAATCTGCAGATCGGAAGTGCCCCATAGTCTGTCAAAGGCACTTTCTTGCAGCTGCGTGCTCCTTGCCAATTTTCATCTTCCAGACTCAATGCTCTGCAAACTACTGCCAACCTCCCTACCTATGGAACTTCCTCTGAAAGGCCCAAACCAGCCTTTCTAGGCTTTTTTAACTTCCTTCTCCAAATAACCCTTTGCAGCATAAGCTTATGGCAGCAAATACTCGTGTTTGCATTCCTGTCCCTTTTTCAGCTACGAGCTATCAAATTTTGATTGAAACAGAAAAAATATTTTGAAAAGGACAGAACAAAGAAAAAGGAGAGATAATCACAGTTCCTCTTTACACAAAAATGAATAAGGACTTTAGTAACAAATGCAGTTTGTTTCCTTCCTACCATACTCTACTACAAAATTAAGTGGTTGTATCAGTAATAGAAAGAAAAAACCCCCTACCAAGTGCCTGAATTCTGCTGCTAGACTTCCATTAGTAGATTCTTCCATGTTCATTACTTTTGTGTTTGTTCCCAAAATATTAAATTTCCTGAACCTACAGAAAGAGAGAGAAAATGTAATTAAATCTCACATTCATTAAAAGAACCTAACATTAATATATCAAACTCTGATGCCACATACCCTTTGACTGAGTTCTTCTCAGTTACATCTCTGTCAAGGAAAAAAAAAGACAAAATAATATTTTAAAGATTCTGCCAAAGGCACAGAAAATGTGCATGTTTTAGTAGCTGACAGTGCTGATTGAGAATTGGTAAAATGCTTTTGTGAAATTCTTGTGCAGAAGATGAGGCAATTGGTTAAAGCAGTCAAAATAAATATTGTGCTACACAGCCTGTGTTTTACTGAGGCCTGATACTGCTATGGGGGCTTTATAATCAAAAGAAGTACTTTCTTTTACTGCAAAGATTGTAACTCTTACTCTGAGGAAAAAAAAATATAGTTCTGCCACTCTAAATCTGCTTTTAAACTTGTTGAATAAATTGCTGCATCACTTGAATTGGTTTTCCCAGCACTTGGGATTTTCCTGAGTTGCATTCTATCAACTGCACTTCTCAAAGACTCACCTCCCACAACCACCTTAGAATTCCTTTTTGCTTTTTTACTATTCTAGGTAAGTTACTGGACCCTAGAGCCATTTCAAGTGAACAAAATTACTTGGCTGGGAAGACAAAAACCCACTTTCTCTCTTGTCATAATTTTGGACAGCCTGTCATATTTCTTTCCCTGCCCTTGAAGTAAGTGCAAAACTCACCTAAACTGCTTACAGAATACGAAAGATTGTATTGTATTTTGTAACTCCTTACAAAATACAGCAGATTCAACTGCCATAATTTTTTTCTCTGATTGAGAACATGTCATATGTTACATGTAGGCAGATTATACCCCTTATTCAAAGGCAGCTTGAGAATAGCTATATTCCTTACTAGGAAAAATAAGGGATTGTAGAGATGTGACTGAGTATTTGAGTCCAATTCTACATTGTCACCTCATGCTAATCCAGGTGAAGCACCCCAGCAGAGTGGCTGCTGCCCAGGTGCTGCCTTGTGTCTGATTTAGCAGTGAGAAGCTGAGGCCATCTGCACTTTGTGATAGATGTCTCTGGGGGGCAGAGAGACATTTAGAGCAAGGGAATAGGAAAGGGGTAAGGAATAGAGGAAGGGGTAAGGAAAGGGGAAGGATTCTGCAGAGAACTAGCCTGCTGCTGGCCTACTCAACACTTCTAATGTGAATGACTGCTCTTGGGCTTCTGAGTGTGGGAACTGTTTACCATTATATAAGAGGGATGAAATAAATGCAACCTACTTATCAAATAAAACTTTCACTTTCAAGTTGTAGTTCAGTTCCTGCAGTTTCACCAGCAATCTGGAAAGAGAAGTATTTTTTTTTAACATCAGCAATTGAAAAATATGGGCTTTCTGCTACTGTGTGGCTTACCACAGATTTAAGTACACTTGGGGGTCACATGCAGGCTCCAAGCTTGCTTCATACCAGACAGCATTTAGAGATAAAAGTAAATGAGCAAATAAGTTACTCTTTGGCAGGACAAAGTGCTCTGCATGTGTCTTCTTGCTGTCTGGTTGTGTTTGTTACACACTCAGTACACATCACTTCTGGGATAGGGTAAAAGCTGAATATGAGTTAAGAAAGCCCCTGGCCATGGCACTTCCCTCCTCCTGGCCTCATCCCTTGGCCTGCAGGCAGGCTGTGCAATCCTCTTGGCTGCAGGAAGCCAGTGACAGGAAAACCTTACCACAAAAAAGGAACAGGGAAAGGGGGAAACATACCTCAGCTTCACAGTGAACTGCACTCCTGTCTTCAGGACTAGTGGCCTCTGAGGATGTGTTGGCATGCAAGGCTGCCTCTCTACCACAAAGGAGCTATGGGAAGAACAGGTTAAAGGTACTATGATTTATCTGTCCTGCTCTTAAATGAGAAACCACATAAAAGTGAACTTTAAATGAATGCTGATTTACCAGTACTACTACACACTTTATTCACTCAGCTTCAATCTACACAGAGGTGTGTTAATCAGTTCCTTTCAGTTGTTACAATGGGGCTAGAAATAGTGATTTTATAAGTGTTGGCTTTTCTGCAATACATTGATGGCTTGAGGAGGGAGAGTGCCACATCACACTTCCCTGAAATCTAACAGCAAGGAAAGCCTGTGCTGTAAGAAGCATGGTGCAAGTGAGGAGTGTTGCTTTGTTTGCCATTCCCAGGGCTTCCTGAATTCTTACAGTGATAGTGCTGTGTAACAACACATGCCCAAGGGATGGATACACTAGCGGGGGATTTGATGAGGGCCAGCTAACCCAATGAACAAACTTCTGAGGCTAATCTGTTTTGATACACCCCAAATTTTTGTTTATTATGTATTTACAGAATAGGTCTCTGATCTTATGTGAGGCAATTACCAGCTATAGTAACTTGCATCATAAAGCTGAATAAAGGCCTCCCCATGCTGGAGGTAAAGATGATATGTCTAGTAACAAAGGATTGGAGAATCTAGTGTGTATCTATGTTGGGCACAGCTTGATGCGGATTGTTTCTTGCCTCTCTTCATTTGAACTTTGTAGTGTTGAAGCTTGATAGACTAACAGACTGGGAGTTTTGACTCTGTAATCAATGTCTACTGCAGCAAAGCTCCTGCTAACTTAAATAATGACTTAACATAAACCCTTTCCATAGGCCTGAACCTGTGGAAATCCTAGATGGGGTAAATCTCAAAAGCAGTAATTCAGTTTAACGTTTGACAAACTTATGAAAACCTTGGAAAATTAAAAGATTGTATGTGGGTCTCAGATTCAGTCAAAGAAAGAAACTGAGAGTTTCTATCCAGGCAGAGGCCTGGGAAAGTGCTGGGAAAGAATGTAAATAATTCTTTATCTCTCTTGTTTTTCACATTGTTTATAGTTAAGTTCTATCACTGTGTTGTGTCAAGCACTCTGAACCAATGGTGTGGGTTGTTTTCACTTCAGAACCAATGGATTTGGTCCTTGTGAAGCTCTGTATAAAAGAGCAGTGTGTTTTGAATAAACTGGAGTTTTACTCTCACAGCCTTCCGAGTCAGAGGCCTCTCATTCCTGTCCTGCCTCAACAGTGACATTGTATGCAGGAAATACTGAGGGAACAGGAGGGGAAGGTGCACTTCACCTGTTTATTCATGGTAACACCAAAAGATCCTTGTGGTCTGTTACCTTTGGATGAGTTGTTGGAAAAGCTTGTGTGTTAGGTCCTGCAGAAATTGTTTATTTTTTGTGATGGGATCAGGGTCATAGGTATATTTCTGTTCCAGTTCCTCAAGTTTCTTGAGCTGCTGACGAACTTGCTGTAGACTTTCAGCAACAATGGTGAACCTACAATTGACACAATATTATTACTTTTAGCCCGTTTTTATGTTGTTCTAGTGCAGAGGCACCAGCCAGACTGTCCCTGAGGATATGGCAATGCCTGGAGCACACTTTGTGCCAATGGAAATGTGGTGAGGTAATAAAATGAATGCAGTTATGCTAAGACAGAATGAAAAGAGATAATATAAATAATCAGTATATTTCTTAGATGTGGTGTTGCTTCTTAGCATGGTTTAAGCATGGTCTGACAAAGGACTTACCAGTTCTGCAGCTGGTCGAGGCAGGCATTGGGTGGCCCACCAATGCATGCTGTCTGTTGCCTGTGCTTCCACTCCACCAGCTCATCATTAATAAGGGCAGCCTGTATCTGCTCTGTGCTCTTCAGCAGCTTCACTATCTTATTCACCACCTCCTACAGAGAATATGAGGTTACCCTGTGTATTAGAAATACTTCATACAGGAGAACTAAGTACTGTTTTAGCTAGTGCTCATCTCTTTTGCAAAACCCTGCAAATATCTCAGTTCAACTGACATTAAAAAACTTTCTTACTACTAATTTATGTCAATTCAATGAAAATGAACATGTGCTTAAGACGAAGAGCTGCTGACTTCTAAAAGATAATTGAACACTACCTTTCTCCTGCAGTCCAGTGATAAGAACATGTGCTGGAGATTCAGCTGTTCTTTCTTGTATTCTTCCTGAGACATACTACTGGACTCGTGTTCTGTAAATTAAGTCCAAATTGTGAATGTGAGGCTGAAGGAGTGCTTGAAGGATGAGTGGGGGAAACACTGAGGTGAGAAGGGCACAAATGAAAAAAGCAAGACTGTGGCTCAGTGCTTCCCTTAGTACCTTCTGAACATGTCCCTGTTCTGAGGGGTAGTCAGCTCTGCCAAGTTGTGTTGGAAACTAAAGCCTTTTCTAGAACAAAGAATTTGACAACAGAGATAGAGCTGTATAATGGAACCAGTGAGGATTCTGTGTGTTTGTCTTGGTACACAAGAGCCTACAAAACCTAAAGCTGTTTTGGCATTTGTGAAACATCACTAATTAAGTGTATGGTTGAATGGTCACAGAGCCTACAGGGTTTACTACTTCTAGTGGCAAAGGGATGTAAAGGGTGAAGGAATGCCAATGTTAACAAGGAGACTCTCTTACTTGGAACAAAAGACAGATGCAGAAATTTAGGTATCAGTGTGAAGCAGAGTTATCAACAAGGGACATTACCAGTAAGTTTGGCTGTGTATCATTAGGCTCAGTGCCCTGACATAAAGAGCAGTTTACTCTGACAAACTATATACAATAGGGTATGTCCTTGAAAAATTACCTCTGTTCTGCAGAGTTTTACATTTGAAGTCATATTCATCTTGCACATCTTCTAATGACTTGATGTCCTGCTCCACATCCTGTAATGCATGAGTGAGGGTGTCCACAATTATTTAATATTTTCAAGTAATGCAAGACTTCATCTGAGTAGGAACTGCCTGGTACCATCCCTGACAGACATGAAGTCCAGTTTTGTAGCAGTGGCTGCTCCTGGCCTAACAGGAAATATTTCTACATTTCATCACCTTCTATTCACCCTTCCTCCTTCAAAACTAACTGAAATCAGTTAATTATAAAGTATGGAAGTGCCCTTGTGGTCAAGTCATGTACATTCACAGATTTTAGGAGAACCTAGGCTACAATGGTAAAACTTAGAACAGCACATAGCATTTTAAACTTTCAAATTCTTATGTACTATAAAAAAAAAAGCTTTCTGTTGTGCCTGTATTTATTAAGACAAACATCTATATGCTAAAAAAAGTACATCTTCTAGTTAGCAATAAACTGGTCAGTTATGATTTAAGAGGGGTTTTTTTCCTCAGCTGCTAGTATTTCAGATAAATAAAATGCTTTTGTTGCTAAAGTTTAGGCACAAGGTAATTCCTATGCTCAGGAAATCCCTGGTTTAAAGACTTGAAAACCCCACCTTACTTTTATTTGTCATTTTATCAAGTCTAATTTTCAACATCTGCAAATCAACAAACACTACTGAGAAAAGTTATATTATACTTACATTAACACTGCTTTTTAAAGTCCTAATATTGGTATCAAGCTCCTTCTGCTTGTCTGGCATCCCAGCTGCAGTGTTCTGTACACTGCCTACTTCCATCTGAGTGAAGAAACAGAACAAGTCAAAACACAGTGACCCATTACTTTTTTCACTAATGTAAATGAGTGGCATTTGTTGACAAACAACCTGAGGAAGCATGGCTTGTTCTGATAAATCATGCTAAAATTTTATAGTATAAAAAAAAAAATCAAATTCAGGTGAATTTGAAAGAAACAAAGTATTTATTTTAGTAAATTGCCAAAGGTCCCCCATCATGGATTTAAGTCAAGCTGTACTGGGCTTTGAGCAACCCAGTCTAGAGGAAGGTAGACGATCTCTAAAGTCCCTCCCAGTCCAAATCATTCTGTAATTCCCTTTCCCTTTTTGATGACCCACATTCACAGCATCCTGGACAGGCAGCAGCTAGTGCTTTATGTCATGTGCCAGGACCAAACAGCTGTGCTGCAGCTACAGGGGCTCCCTCAGAGTCACACTCTTAGAGCAGCTGCTTTGGACACTGTTGCAAAGGGCCCCTTGTTGAAAGCCAGTGCCCATGTGCTCTTCCCACGCTGCAAATTGAAAGCCTTGCTATAAACTGAGGTATTTCTGCATTGGAAATAACATGCTTGGTCAGTCATCACTTTATTTCTACATAAATGGATTGCAGCTATCTATATAGTTTACATGCCTTTCCAAACTGTGGAATTTTTATTGCTAGACAGTTCTTGTGAAGGAAAAAAAAAGGCGACAAGCTGGAGAACAGATGATAAAGGAGAAGATATGGCTTTACCTATAATTCAGAAGAAAGAAAAGGGCTTGACTAAAAAAACACCCTAAAACACCACTAAAATTAGAAATACTTGGAGACAACTGGGAAGGAGAAAGTCCAAAGAAGCATGCTCAGCTGCTTAATAGAGAGTATACTGGGGAATAAAATGCAGAAGAACAAACCTAAAATCTTACTGGATATATGAGTTAAGCACTAATTATTATAATAAAATCCAATTGGCACATTGGGCTACATCATACTACAGAAAGATTAAAAAAAACAGCATAGCTTTTAGTATAGCTGAAGGAATAAAAATTATTTTCTGGCCATTTATCCTCCAAATGCTTCATTCAGCAGAAAAAAGGCATGCTGTCCAGCTGGTAAAAAGTAGCATTCTCAAGTTGGTATGTATCAGTGCTCACTCTTCTCTTTTTTAAGCAACCTCTTATTGGGCAGAGAGAGGATAGCCTTTTTCCCCTGCCAGTCTTCATCCACTTCCCTTGTCCCAAATAATAGGCGAGGGTTTCAAGATTGTTACCTCATTGCTTGCCTGGGCACAATTCAGTATTTTCCTCTCTTCTTTCAGACAGTTGTGGATGATCATTGCCATGTGTATTGGGTCTTCTTGGAAGTTATCCTAGCATTAGAGACACAGCCTATTGTTAAAGTCCATACACATAATTTTTTATCTTTCAGTAACTTTCAGACTGGCAGAACAATTAGGGTATGACATGAGTGTGAGCCTCAGGGAACATGCTGGTCATAGCCTGCTCCAGGATTACAGGGTGAGACAGCCACAACCAGCTCCAAAAGTGAGTTTCCATTGTCATTCAGGACTGGGACAACAGGAAAGGGTCAGAGACATTCCTGGGACATGTGGGATACTACCCCACAGTCCTAGAGAAAGCTCATTCCTCAAGAGCCACCCTCCCACATTTTGGTATAGCTGCTGGTTTAACACACACAGTCCAGGCTGGATGCAAATGCTACATTATTGTTTTACCTGCACACAAAGCTGCTATGTGCTGGGGATTGAGTACTGCCCTGCTCAGAATGGTGTTACTCTGCGGGGTTTTCTTTTTCCTAGAGTTCTCAAACTGTAACTGTGCTGATAATTAAACTGTAACATTCTAGCTGTAGCCAACCAAAAGAAAAATGGAGAAACACTTGAATTCTGGCTTTTAAAGTAGGATTCTCACACATCCTCTGTGAAAATCCCTCATAGCAGTGTAGCTGCTTAGAGGCATTCAACTGCCCTGAAGCAAATCAAGCACATGTGTATATATATATATATATATATATATATATATATATATAACATATAAATGTGTAGATTGTATAGATAACCCAGGCATACCTGAAGATTACGTTTGCTTTTCCTTATGTTGTGCTGCAGCAAAAAGTTGTTTTCTATCAAGAATCTACTAAATTGATCATCAAGCTGTGACAGCAGGTCATGGAATAACAGTGTAGCAAATGATACATTGTTGGCCGCATGTTCCCTGGAATCATTTAATGCATATTTGGGTTAAATACACTTCCAATACAAGAGCCAAGAAATACATACAGGTGTACTTGATTTTTATCCCCAACTTCAGTTGTAGAATATGCAAGCAATGAGAATACCTTCAAATATAAGTTAGTCTTAACTGACATTACTTTCCTTGTAAAGGAAAGAAATGTTGTTTCTCTATTATTTTTGCCACATTCTGTTCAAATTCACTTACTCATTCCATGGCATCAGGAACCTCAAAGTGACCCTGATGCATATGCATGTTGTACCACTCCTCAAAGAGAAGACACTCCACAGAAAGCCTGGCAGAAGTTCGGAGTCTTTGGGGAGTGAGAGACTGATGCTACCAAGGTTAGTAACTAATTGGTCTTAAAACAGCCACTTTTGTTCTGGACCACTGAGAGCATTATGAGCAAGGACACTTACTCCAGGTGTCAGGCCCCTCTAGAAAGTCCTAAAAGGAGCAGGAACACAGAGCACCCACACAGCTACTGAAGCATCCTACCAGCAAAGGATCACCTAGCAGCTTGTTTCCCCAGCATACTGCTGCTGCCTGAAACTGCACTTCTGAGGGCACTGCTTATCACACAACCCAAAGCCTAATTAATTCCTTGGCTTACCAATCCTGGTTTTCCAGCCACTGTGCCAGGTACTGCCTGATCTCCATAGGAAAGCTGTCATCATACAGCTGGTGAACTTGCTCCAAAAACTTGGAATCCAGCTGCTGTAGTTGATACCACTGAGACATTCTGAGTAAGCTGTGAAAAAAAAGTCAGTGTTTAAGTAGTATTCAGACTGAACTGGTGAAAAATAACTAATTTTAAGTTTTAATGAACATTGACAAAATTGGAGGATGTGCTGATTTTGGCTGGGATAAAGTTTATCTTGTTCACAGTAGGTAGCATGGGGCTGTTTTGGATTTGTGCAGGAAGCAGTGCTGGTAAGACAGGGATGTTTTTGTTACAGCTGAGCAGGGCTTACACAGCATCAAGGCCCTTTCTGCTCCTCACCCCACCCCACCTGTGAGGAGGCTGGGGGTGCACAAGGAGCTGGGAGGGGACACAGCTGGACAGCTGACCCCAGCTGACCCAAGGGACATTCCAGACCAGGTGGCATCGAGCTCATAGAGCTGGGGGAAGGAGAAGGAGGCACAGGGGATATGTTACATGATGGTGCTTGTCTCCCCAAGCCACTGTTAGGCATGATGGAGCCTGGCTTTCCTGAGATGGCTGAACTCCTCCCTTTGGCTTTCCTGTGTACATGGCTTTTGCCTTTACCTGTTAAACTGTCTTTATCTCAGCCCATGAAGTGCCTCACCTTTCTGATTCTCTCCCCAATCCCACCATGCAGGGAGGAGGGGAAGTGAGTAGCTGTGTGGTGCTTCCTTTTTTTTCCTTTTCCTCTGAACCCATTTTCATGGCGTTTATGGTACTGCTAGTGTTACTGCTCTCTTGTTTAGCACATATGGGAATGAGGACCTCTGTGTTTGATACCTGTACTCTGCATAATTGAGATCCTGATCACGGAGTATCACCTTTTGCTTGTGCAGATGCATTCCCCAGCACCAAAAGTGTGAGTGTACAATTAAAGAGCCCTCTAAGTGCCCATTTTCAGTTGCTATTTGTGTCCACACTTGCCTGCTCTGAAAATGGACTACATCTCAAGTTACCTTAAATGGAGAAGTACTGGAAAGATATTTTTTTCGGCATTTGAGTTCTCATGATAATATTTTCAGGCTAAATTCAAGCAACCTGTGCAGCAGATACAGGGTGCTTAAATGAACTAAGACTGTGCAGAACGGCTTCTCTCAGTCCTAACATTTTTGTGAGAGTGGTTTCAGCTCTGACGTATGGTCTCTAGAGGCAGATCACTTAGCCTTCTAAGCTGCAGGTTATCAGCTTGTAGTGGAAATGGCATGTAAAGATATGCCAAGGAACAGCCCAGGCTGAGAATATGGGTGGTGAGATGCAAATCCACTCACATCTTTGTTTTTTAATGACTGCTTATAAGACCCATCCAAAAGAACAGGCAGCATCAGGATGAAGGACTGTCTTCTATGCCCCTTCCTACCAAATCCTTTTGTTTTTATATGCCAGTGCCCTCAGCTGCTGAGTGGCATGTGCTAGGTGTGAGAAGCAAAGGAATTAAAAATGCTATGTTTAAAGTGAGGGCTTTGAGGCTTTTGATTTGTGTGCTTTTCAGATTACAGCTAACACAGCATTTGAGTGTGCTATAGCAGTCCCAAAGAGGGAGGTCCATGACCTCCCTGGGTGGCCTGCTCCAGTGCTCTGCCACCCTCAGTGTAAAGTTCTTCCTCATGTCGTGGTGGAACTTGTGTTTGTGTCCACTGCTCCTCATCCTGTCAGTGGGCACCAATGAAAAGAGTTTGTCACCATCCTCTTGGCACCTGCCTTTGAGTTATTTATATGTAATGATGAGATCCCCTCTCAGTCTCTCTACTCCAGACTAAACTGTTCCTGCTCCAGCTCCCCTTGTAAGAGAGTGCTCCACATCCCTCATCATCTGTGTGACCTCTGCTGTACCCTCTCCAGTCGCTCCTCGTGTTTTTTGTACCGAGGAGCCCAGACCTGGGCACAGCACTCCAGATGTGCCTCACTAGGGCAGAGCAGAGGCGGCTGATCACCCCTCTCGACCTGCTGGCCGCCCGATGCAGCCCAGGACTCCCTCCTGGCCCTCCTCTCCCTCCTCGCCTGCCATGGCCGGGGGCCGGCCCGGTGCCCGCGTTCCCCGGGAGGGAGCAGCGCACCTGTTCCGCGGCGGCTGCCCCGCGGCGCCGGAGGAGCGGGATCAGCGGGATCAGCGGGATCAGCGCCGTGCTGGGCACACGGGCCCGCTTCCAGCGCTCCGGGCAGCTCTGCAGACGCGTCGGAGAGGGTGAGCTGCGGAGAGCGAGCAAAGAGCCGGGCTTGAGAGCGGATGCGACAGACGACAGAGCAGCCGGAGCGTCCCTGTCAGGAATGAAGACGGCTAGCAGACACCTCTCTTTCCCCAGGGCAAGTACATCAAAGCGCAAAACTCGGTGGGCGTCCCGCGGGCAGGGGCAGTCTGAGGAAGCGACAAGCTTTCGTTTCACCGGGCATTCCCCCCGCCATCCCCCGGCCCCTCACGCCCGGGTCCCTCACGCCCGCTCCCCTCACCTCGGCTCCGGCTCGGCGCTGCCGCGGTGCCGGCTGCGCTCAGGGAGCCGCGCGCATGCGCGGGGGCGGGCCGGGGGCGTTCCCGGGCGGCGGGCACGTCACGTGACTTCTGGGAAAGGCGGCGAAGGCGAAAGCGAAACCAGCGCGGGGCCCTGAGGGCGGCGGGGCGGGGCGG